CCCTGGGGCTGGGACATGGTTCAACAGCAGAGCCCTGCCCAGCATGTGGGAAGCTCTGGTTCACTCACTAGAGCTACACAAAGAGAAGCTACGTTGTATTTTTGTCCAGTTTACTACCTCATCTCCCAGTTAAACGTAGAAAAAAAAAACTTCAACAACTTATAGAGGACTAGGGGCTAGCCAAGCTCTCACTGTGACAAAGCCAGCACTAGGCTGACAGACAGATTCCCTGGTGCTCTAAGAACAAGCTAACCATGGCCTGCGCACCCCACAGTCTATACAGCAGCAGTCGGGACTCGGAGCACAGGGGAGCCTGGGCAGACTGGAGTTGGAGATGCAGGACTGATTGCTTTGGAAGACTCGGGCTGGCTTCAGTCTCATAGTGAAGGATGGTTTTGCTGGCATTACAGGTGTGCACTGCCCAGCCTGGTTTCTGCTGTGCTGGAGATGGAATCCAGGGTTTTGTGCTTGCTAGCCAAGCGCTGTCTGATCTGCAACCGCAGGATCTTGCGATGCGTCACCATACATAATCCAAGAACAAGGAACCTGTGACTCATTGAGAGGACACAGTACAGGCATGTGCAGAAGCATGAGGAGAGCAGGGATCAGAGTGAGGGAGCTGGCGCGAACCCAAGAACGCCAGGAGCCTCGGGAAGCTGCTGTCCTAATGCTCTTCTCCCCTGGGTCCTTCAGAGGGAGCCAGTTGGACTTTAGACCTAATGGAGATAAACTCCCCACCACCTCCAGCCCCCCACACAAACACACACACAAAAACATAAACACATTCATGGCGTTTCTTTGTGTAGCCGTAGCTGTCCTGGAACTCACTCAGTCATTCTGTAGACCAGGTTGGCTTCAAGGTTATTCATCTGCCTCTGCCTCCTGAGTGTGTGTGAGCGCATCACTGCCTTGCTGGAGATGAGGTGTTGTTATCAGCAGGAAGCTAACATAGGAGTTGCCCCAGATCACTGTGGTCGCAAACCAAGAATGGTGGGAAAAGGGATACAGAGACCCCACATCATCTCTGAGACTGTGGTCCAGCTTGGGGGTTTTGCTGGAAAGACTGGGGTCCTGGAGACTGAGACCAGCATCATCTTCATCGTCATTATGTGGCTTTTGAGACAGGGTCTCATGTAGCCCGGGCTAGGCTGCAGTACAGGAGAGGATCTTTTCGGTGTTGGCGCCTGGGTCGTCCAGCAGGGATGAGTCCCCGTGAAAGGCCACAGCAGGCAGCTCTTCCCTTAGCCACTTTTTCCTTTTTACATTTTATTTATGTCATTTGCCACGGTTTGCACATGAAGGTCAGAAAACAGTTTTTGGAGGTGGTCTCTCTCCTCTCCTGTGGGTCCCAGAGACTTAATTCAGATTATCTGGCTTTGAAGTTGGCACCTTGACCTGCCGAGCCACCTTTCTAGCCAGCCTTGGTTTTGTTTGGTTGGTTAGGTTTTCTTTTGTCTTATGTTCCTAAGACAGGGTCTCGCCATGTAGTCCAAGCTGACCTCAAACTCACAGAGATCCTAGGTGCTGGGGATTAAAGGTGGTGTCACCATGCCCTCCCTGCCTTTTATGAGACAGGGTCTTATGTAGCCAAGACTAATCTTGAACTCCTGGTTCCCCTGCCCCCACGGTGCCACAGTCTTCGTTCTCAGCCTTTCAGGGGCAGCTCAGGTGCAGTCCAGGTACCAGCCCTGATAAAGAGCGGCACTCCCCGTACTCGGAAAATCCCGAGGACTTATCTCCCAGAAACCAAAACCAAACCCAGACACCACCTGTGCTCCACAGCAGTGATGGACAAGAAGAGTCAGGGCCTGCTGGACAGTTCACCTGCAGACACTGCAGGCGGGCAGAGTTCTCAGAGCAAGGACCTTTCAGGGTGGAGACAGCCACTGAAGAGGCCAAGACAATGGATAAGATAAGTGAGCCACAGGGCATGTTCAGTACTGATTAGAGCAAAGTGGGGGTCAGTCCGGTAGTGCAAGAGGAGCAACCTGGAAGAGGGAGTCATGGAGCCTCTGCCTTGTGTGAAATGGAGGCAGACATAGGTATCTGGAGGGGAGGGTGTCCCCCATGCTGAGTCAGTGCAAAGACCTTGGGGTGAGAGTAAACCCACCTCACGCACACCAGGCTAGTGTCGGACACGAACAAGGTTAGCAGGCAGAGGTTAGCCCAGCACAGGACCAAATTCTGCAGATCTTTGTGGCATTCTATTTTGGAGTCAAGGGCCTGGAGCGTGATAGACAAGTACTCTGCCGCTTACTCGCGGCTTCAAGGCAGCTGCTCTCTGACTGAGCTGTGTATCTGTCCCTCTCTTTACTGCTTGAGACAGAGTCTTAGTAAATTGCCCAGGCCGGCCTTGAATGCACTCTGTATCCAAGGCCAGCCTCTAATCTCCAGTCCTCCTGCCTCAGGCTCCTTGGTAACTGGGGTGACTGATCTGTACCATCACCGCCCCCACTGATGCCTGGACTTGTATCTTGAAAGAATCAAGAACTCAGAGACTGGAGGAACTTGGCTGGCAGGTTCACAAGTTCTGTGTCCCTGCGAGCAGTTGGAGAAGTAGGAAACTCAGAAGGAAGGCCACTGTGACATTCTTTGTGGGAGATGGTGGCGGCAAGGCCAGCATGGTGACTGCCGATGTGCTGGGCACTGGTCGGTACTGTCCGCGCGCTGTCCTAGCTGAGGCTTGCGGCCGCACCACTTCTCACCGCTGGGTGGCGCGTCCCGCCTGGGCACGAACTCACCCCTTGCCCGGTCTACCCCAAAGCTTCTTTCACTTTCGGTCTTTGGCTGTCACCAATTTAGTCTTTCCACACCCAGCTGGGGCAAGCCTGGTGCGTGGGGTGAATGGCTTTCTAGGTCCCTGAGGGGCGGTCCCAAGGTCCCCATTCCCGGACCGTGAGAGCAGGGTGCGAGGTTGGGGAGGATTCTGGGGACAGGACCGTCGGTCGGTCGGTCGGGGTTCTTAGAAGGGGAGATGACTTTTCACCGTAACTGGGGCTCATGCAGGAAGCCTGAGGGAGCAGGAGGCGGAAACGCACCCACATCAAGGGTGGCAGGGCGGGGCGGCGGGGCACAGGGGCGAGTGGGTAAGGGGCTGCAGGGTGCGAAGCCTGCTCTTCTATCCCTTCCAAGACCCTGCCACAGGCATGAGGGGTCCCCGGCCGAGATGACAGTGCTGGTGCCAGCCTGGAGTCCACATGTGCGTATACCTGAGGGGTGATGGAGCAGGGCGGAGAAGGGAGATGGGCGAGGGACGGAGGCATGGAGAGAGAGACCCGGGACAGGGTCAGAAGAAAGAGGACGGTGCAGGATGAGATGGAGAATATGGAGACAGGTTTGTCACAGTAACCAAGGTACAGGACAGGCAGAGACAGGGAAGATGACACCCAGTTAAGGAAGGAGCAGGACACAGGGAGCCCCTGCATGGAAGTCAGGTACTGACACCACCTCCCTGTAGTCCTCCCTGCTGCTGCTGCTGTTGCTGCTGAGTCCTTGTCTGCGGGGGACACCTGACTGCTACTTCAGCCACAGTCCTATCTCCTCCAACTTCCACTTGAGGATCAGCGAGCTGGTGAGCCGGCTCCCACCCAGGCCAGGCCACCGTGCTGGTCCCAACCCACACCTTTGCCCTATCTCTCACAGTGTTTCTGTGGGATCTCTCTCTCTCTCTCTCTCTCTCTCTCTCTCTCTCTTTCTCTCTCGCTGTGTGTGTGTGTGTGTATGTGTGTGTGTGTGTGTGTCTGTTCTACTGTCTGTCTCTGCTTCTCTCTGGGTCTCTCTCAATTTCTGGGTCCGTGTCCCTCTCTGTTCTTTTTCTCTGAGGGTCTCTTTCCTACTGTATCTTGGAGTCTCTTCTCTATGTGGGTCCTGTGTTCATGTTCCCTTGTCTCGGGGTCTGTTTCCAACTCCTCCGAGTCTCTCTAATTTGTCCTCTCTCCTTTTTTTTCTCCCACAGACTGACTACTTGCTTAAAGATTACCCAGTCACTGTGGCCATCAACCTTCAGGACGTGAGTCACTGTCGAAGGGCCCTGGGATGGAGGTGGGAACCAGACTCAAGATGCGCCACCGTTCAGGGACAAGGCTATGGGGCCACCTCCTGCTTCCTCAGATCTGGCGATTTAGACCCTCGCTTCCCCCCATCAGACCCAGGCGTCCGTCCTATCTCGATCTTTCAGAAGTCTGGCCCACCATCCTCCCTCTCTCAAGCTCTCAAGACTGTTCGTTTCTCCCTTAGGTGTAGTGGGCCCCTCCCTCTCAGGCTCCTGGCCCCGCCCCTCCGTCAGGGATCTTCAGACCTGTGGCCACTTTTCTCCCCTGGTATCTGGCCGGGTCCCATCTCAGGGGGTTGGTTCTGTCCCTTCTCACACGACCCCTTCTGGTCTCTAGCAAGGCCCCACCTTTTTCAGTACCCTGGTCCCACCCTACCTACCTTTGACATTTGGCCACGCCCATCTTTTCAGCCACCTAGCCCAGCCCTCCCTCAGTCATCTGACCCCACCCATCCCTTGTTCAGCCATCACCCGCCCACCCTGCCTCAATCTTCTGGCTGGGCCCATGCCCTGTTAGTCATCTGCTTCCAGTCCCTCTTCCCTGTGATTTGGCTTGCGTTTTGGTCTGCAGGAGAAACACTGCAAGGCCTTGTGGAGCCTCTTCCTGGCCCAGCGCTGGATGGAGCAACTGAAGACTGTGGCAGGATCTGAAATGCAAAAACTCCTGGAGGCAGTCAACACGGAGATACATTTTGTCACCTCATGTGCCTTTCGGGTTAGCACTGGAACTTGGTAACAAATGAAAAGAGCCAAGTCCTTCCCCAGGCCTTAAAGTAATACAGCTCTGCTAGGTCTTTTTTTTTGGGGGGGGGAGTTCTTTCGTCCACAGCACACCACAGAGGCACAGAGGTCGAGCTGGAACCTCCGAGCCCTGGAGTCACCTGGGGATCCTGGTACTGGGTCCGTGCCTCAGTAGGTGAAGAAGGCGTTACTAAGGGGTTCTCTCCTCTAACAACTGGAGAACCCTGGAGTCTTTGAGACCTGGGCCCACTGGCTCTGTGTCCTCTGCAGGTTAGGGCCCTGGGTTGGTGGAGACTCTGGTTTGACATGGTGATGACCTATCCATCCCTGCTCCCAGCCTCTTCCAGAATGTCTTCGCTTCGTCCAGACCAACATCTCCCACCTCCTGCAGGACACCTGCACGCAACTGTTGGCTCTGAAGCCCTGTATGGGGAAGGCCTGCCAGAATTTTTCTCGGTGCCTGGAGGTGCAGTGCCAACCAGGTAGCAGCACACTGGAGCCCAGCACCCCCAGTGCCACCTGGCTTGCTTGCTATGTGTCCTAGAGGCTTCTGCTCCCACTAGCTGGAACTTGAAACAAGGTCTTTCTCCTTTCTTTTTTCTCTTTATTTTCTCTTTCCTCCTCCTCCTGCTTCTCCTCCTTCTGACTTATCTATTTTTATGAGTGTTTTACCTACAAGTTGTAAGTGCACTGAATGTGTGTCTAGTGCTGAAAGAGGCCAGCAGAGGGCATCGGATCCCCTGGACCTGGAATTACACAGTTGTGAATCCCCATGTGAGTGCTGGGAAAATGAAATCAGGTCCAACGCAAGGGCAGCCAGTGCTTGTAACTGCTGAGCCATCTCCCCAGCCCTTTTCTCTTCTTTTGAGGTAGGGTCTCATTATATAGGCTAAGCTGGCGTTGAACTCAAAGCAATCCTTCTATCTGTCCTGAGTGCTGGGATTATAGGTGTGAAGCCATCATATCTGGCTTCATACCATTTTATTTTTTCATGTTACCGCATATTAATTATATATAGTAATTGTAGCAGGCTTTCTCTTTGGGCCACCAATCATCTCCCAAATAAAGACATAGAGACTTTTTTTTAAGATTTATTTACTTATTATGTATGCAATGTTCTGCCTGCATGTATCCCTGCAAGCCAGAAGTTGGCACAAGATCTTATTACAGGTGGTTGTGAGCCACCATGTGGTTTCCAGGAAGTGAACTCAGAACCTCTAGAAGAACAATCAGTGCTCTTAACTGCTAAGCCATCTCTCTAGCCCCACATGGGATACTCATTAATAATTATGAATTCTTGGCCTTAGATTAGGCTACATTTTTGTTATGAGCATAGCCTTCAATGGCTGAGCCATCTCTCTAGACCTAGGCTTGTTTCTAACTAGCTTTTTGTCTGTTTGGTTGGTTTTTTGAGACAGGGTTTCTCTGTAGCTTTGGAGCCTGTCCTGGAACTCACTCTGTAGATCAGGCTGACCTCGAACTCACAAAGATCTGCCTGCCTCTGCCTCCTGAGTGCTGGAATTAAAGGTGTGCGCCACCATCGCCGGTTCTAACTAGCTTTTTTTTTTAAAAGTTAAATTGACCATTTCTGTTAATCTGTGTGCTCTTGTGTTTGTGTGTTCATTTGTGTGTGTGCATGTGTGTGTGTGTGCATGCACAGAGCTCAAAAGAGGGTATTGGATTGGTAACTCCTAGAACTAGAGCTACAGACAGTTGTGAGCTGCCACGTGGATACCAGGAATCAAACCTGGGTGCTGGAAGAACATCCAGTGCTCTTAACCACTAAGCCATCTCTCCAGCCCCAGGGTCATACTTTTTATATCCAACTTGGTTTATTTTTGAAAGTGTTTCACTAAACATCCCTATCTGCCCTGGAGCTCACTATGTAGACCATGCTAACCTAAAATGCACAGAGATCCATGTGCCTTTGTCTCTACAGTGCTTGATTAAAGGCTTGCACTGCCAAGCCTGTCTCATCCTCGCTCAGGTTTTGACCTTGGTTGTTTGCAGGGCCCCTCATGCACCATCAGCCGTGGTCCAGGACTTTCAGTGTTTGCTCTGATGATCCCCTCTGTTACTTGGTTCTGCTCTCTCCCCAGAGTCCTCTACCCTGCTACCCCCAAAGAGTCCTGTAGCCCTAGAAGCCACTGGGCGTCCAGAGCCTCCATCCCGACAATTGTTTCTTCTGCTGCTGCTGCCTCTCACGCTTTTTCTGCTGGCAACTGCCTGGTGCCTTCACTATCAGAGGGCAAGATGGAGGAAAATGTTCCGCCCTGGGGTGAGCCAAGAGTCCAGGCAGTTGGATGGCGTGGGTGGTGAGGGATGAGGGTGGCAGGTGGCCTTGCAAGTGTACTGAGGCTGACTTTGTGGGGCCTCAGGTGCCCCTCAACTCCCATCCCTAGAATACGAAACTTGTGCAGCGTTGACTCCGCCAAGGTCTTATCTCGGTGAGTCTTCTGCTTCTACCAGAGCATGGAATGGCCAGGCTTGGGGGATACAGAGTCAAGCCAAGATTGGGGGGGGGGGGCTCACTATGTCATAGGAGGGGCAGGAGTTCTGAGGAGTAGTGTGTGTTGGGGGAAGAAGAGTCTTTGATAAGCTTCCAGTGTCACAAAGCTCAAGGGGGTTCCGAAGCCGTCACTGTCACAAGGCAGCAAAGAGGCATGGAAGTGTGAGGGAAGAGCCTGACGTGGGGAGAGCAAGCACGGAGGGGAGGCAGGCAAGCAGGCAAGAAGGCGGGTCCCCATGCAGGCACTCATAATTCCTCTCATATGAGGCTACACCTGTAACCCCAGCACTCGAGAGGCCAGAGGAGGGGGATTGTCGCAAGGTCTGGCCATCCTTGGCTACACGGTGAGTTCAAGGCCATTGTGAGACACACAGTGAACCCTTGTCTCCTGTCTCAAATAAACAAACAAAGAAACTCAACCAGTGACCCTGATGTTTTTGCAGATGAGGTCTCACTATGTTGTCCACCTGACTCTGAATACCTTGGTGAATCTTCCTGCCCCTGCCTTCCTAATAGTTGGGCCTACAGGCATGTTACATACAACAAGACTTTTCTTTTTCTTTTTTCTTGGTTTTCTCGGTGCTAGAGTTGGGAACCAAACAAGGAACAAGCTAGGCAAATACTGTGCTATTGAACTCCATGCCCTGCCAGAGGACACAATGTCCAGGCACGGTGATGAACATTCCAGTACTTCTGAGCTGGCGATGCTGAAGCTGGAAGATACTGACTTTAAGAAAAACTAAAAGGAAGAAAAAGAGAGGACACTGTAGCCCTGTGTGGCTGCTTCTGTCATCCCAGCTCCTTAAAATAAAAAAAAAATGACTGCTGGGCGTGGTGCTGCCTGCCTGAAATCTTAGTAGTCAAGAGGCTGAGGCAGAGGGATTTAAACAGCAAGGCCAACCCTGGGAACTTTGTGAGAACAATGAAGAGTAGCAATGCTGGGTGGGGCTGGGGGGAGCTCGCACTAGAAAGGCTCCGGGTTCCCTCTACAGCTGCAGCCATACAGCCACTAGAAACATTGTATCTGCACTAATATTCCCACTGCCGAACGGACTCCCTGCTAGCTTAGTTAAAACAATTAGGTGGAGAAACAGTTTCTAAACATCGTGGTTTCCTATTTCTGGGCTTGTTTCTGAAACACACACCATTTATCAGACATTTGTCTGTAAAATCAACTCTATTTACTAATTTTTGAGACGGTGTAGCTCAGATGGCCTGGACTCCTGGGTAATCCATCCTCCTGCCTCTACCTCTGGAGAGCTGGGATCACAGGTGTGTACTCTCACACCTGAGAGTAATTGCTCTTTTTTTTTTTTTTAAAAAAAAATTACACTCAAGCCTCCCCAAAATAAATAAAAATTTAAAAATAATTCCACATGGTGGGGGCCTATGTGCACCGTTGTGCCTGTGCGCTAGTCAGAGGACAGCATGCTGGAGCCACTTCTCTCCTTCCATCAGATGGGGCCCAGGGGAACTCAGGGTGACAGGCTTCGTGGCAGAGGCCTTTTATCCTTTAAGTCAGCTTGAGGGCCATGATTTGTTTTGTTTTGAAACAGGGTTTCAGGTAGCTGTACCTGACTTGGAACTTGCTGTGTAGACCAGGCTGGCTTAGACAGATATCCACCTGCCTCTGCCTCCTCAGTGATAGGACTAAAGGTGTGTGTCTGCATGCCTGGCTGTGAGACTCCCTTTGGAAAGACAAAGAACAAAACAAAAAACCCTTGGAGCAGATTTTGTGGTCAAGTCTATAGTCCCTGCACACTGCAGAAGAGGCAAAAGGGCAAGGATTCTGGGTTATCTACTAGTACATAGAAATCCCAGACTAACCTAAACCGGGTGGGGTGGGGTGGGGTGGGAATGGGAGAGGTGGGGAGGGTTGGGAGGATGTAGATTAGTGGTAGAGGGCTTGCTTGAAAGGGGCGTGGCGGGGGCGTGGCTCAAAGGTGGAGTGCGGACCAAACGCCAGTCCTCAGACTATTGATCCAATTTTACAGAAGAGGATACTGAGGCAAAGCAGGAGTCACCTGACAGACGCTGCACAGCCTGGACACGGGGAAAGTTGGGTGGAGGTTGGCCCCCTCTTGGACTGCGCTGCCACTCCAGCTCTCTCCCCAGGATGGAGTCAACAGCAGAATCCAGCAAAAGTCCCACTCATCCCACTCTGTACAAAGTCCTTGCCCCCATTAACTTGTATATAAATGGTTTTTACAAGCTCTTCCGGACCTATCTGTGGATGGGACAGGGAATGGGTGGGCTATTTTAGGTTTCAGGATTTTGCGATGCTTGGTGATGTAATCCCATCTCTCCAGAAGCTGAAGCAGTATCTCAAGCCTGAATTGCAGAAATCCTACGTCAAAAGCCAAAAACAACGACAAAAGGTTCTGTTTGTTTTCTGAGGCCTCCAATGGCCCTGCGTCGGCACTGGGTAATGCTCCATAGAACCCTGATGTGAGGCTGAGGCAGGAACAGCCCAATTCCCCAAGATCATGACAGCAAAGTGGCAGGAAAGCCAAGTGTTGGAGACTCCAGGTAGAATCGACTCAAGCTGGGATGTGTGGGGAGGTTCTCACGGTGACTGCCAAATCGACTTGTTTGGCTTTTTGTTTGCTTTGGGGGGCTATAAATGCACAGCAGGGAGGGTATCTCAGATAATGTGCACAGCAAAGCTTTTGGAAACAGAAGCAGGTGGATGCATCTCAGGAACCTGAAGTCCTTCTTTTTTCCCCCAACTCTTTTTTGTTTGTTTGTTTGTTTGCTTACTTTGTTTTCGAAACCAGGTTTCTCTGTAGCTTTGGAACCTGTCCTGGAACTCCCTCTGTAGACCAGGTTGGCCTCGAACTCACAGAGATCCGCCTGCCTCCGCCTCTCGAGTGCTGGGATTAAAGGTGTTTCCCCACCGCCCGGCTCCCCGAACTCCGCCCGGCTCCCCGAACTCTTATCTTCGATAACTATTTCCATCTGTTTAATACTGGGAGACTGCTAAGCTCAGAAAAGGCCGGCAATTGTCTTGCACACCATGAGGGTGAAGGGAGGAAACACAAATCGCTATGGTTCTAACGCAACACGGGCGAGCCGGCCAGGACTGATGCACGCCCCCTTATGGCCACCACGTGTTCTGCAACCGTCGTTACTTGAGGGGAGCAATGGCGCTCCACACAGCGGACGTCTGACTGGAGACGAGCACTCCCTCCAAAATATGGCCGCCGGGGCTGGACGGCCTTGTCCCTCTGAAGCCGCCTCGGGATCCACGTGATCTCTCGCCCCGCACAGACATGGCCGCCAAGGGCTAACTCAAAACGGTGTCCTGATTGGACAATATAAAGATGACCCACCTTCCAGTCTGCGCATGCGCACCGCTGCGACCAATGAGAAGACGGAAAGCCTTCGGTTCGGCCCGGCCTGCGTCACTTCCTCCGCCCCTGCAGCAAGGGATAAGAAACCCTGCGCCAAGACCTCCTCCTTTCCCAGGCGGCTGCCGAAGATGGCGGAGGGGCAGGTAGGTCTCTGCGTGCCGGGTGGTGAGGGGGACGGGTGGGTTCCAGGCGGGAGCGGCACGGCATGGAGCCTTCACCCCACGCTTCCTGTGCCATGGGACTTACGGACGGCAGTTAAGCAAAATAGAAAGTTTTTCTGATGCGAGGGGAGTGTGTAGCGTGGGCATAGCAAGCCGCAAAGTCTAGGTTTGGGGCGACGAGAATGCGACGTTTTCCTTAAGGAAGACGTGAGTGGTGCTTGGGTTCCCAACACCCGGAAAGAATTTCTTCAGGCTTTATCCTAGGCAGTTGGGATGCGAGGAGCGTAGGCTAGCATGTTGCTCGGTTTGTACATTCATGTGGTTCCTAGGTAATGGGGAATTGCTGAAATGGAGACGCCTGTTTTTGTTATTTTTTGGGGTGGCTGCTTTCCCTCTAAAAGTTCTTCAGTAGGGTAAAGCCAGCTGGGCGGTAGACCGAGCAGAAGCATCGGGATTTTGTGGTTAATTTTAGACGGTTAAAAGTTGCTATTTGGAGATGTCTGGTAAATGGTGCTGTGGGACGTCTCCCCTTAGAAAACTACCCTGAGGATCTGTCTCTAGGAACAGCAGCAGAGGGAGGACAGTTGTGGAAGGGGGTTCTTGTGTGACTGTTCACTGTAGTTTGGGCTGGGTTGTCGGCACATGTCTTGAGAAATGAAGACCTCATCGCAACTTCCAACAGAATTAACAAACTAGACAGGACAGCCATTAGATACTGAGTTAAAAGGTTTTGCTTTGTACTGTTGATAGGATGGTTTCTGTTCTCGTGAACACGTTGAGACTCTGATGCAGAGCCACTGTGACCTAAACGTACCCAAAACTAAGTCTTAGTGTCGAATTTCTTTGTAGTACAGGACATTCCCACAGGAGCCAGTAGATCCCAGCTATCCAGTAGTTTGAGGCTTTTTAGAGAGTACGGTAAAGCTCGGCTAAGAATTTCAAGATAATGAACTGTAGGAATGCTAAGGAATTGCAGGCACCTAAAGTCTTCCCTTACCCATGCTGGACCTGCCTTGGCTGGTTAATAGGCATCCTGTGGGAAAAGGCACTGTAGTAGTTGGTAGTTTGAAGGGAGAGCCAGATTGCTCCCTAAGCTTCTGTCTCCTACAGGTTCTGGTATTGGACGGCCGAGGCCATCTTCTGGGTCGCCTGGCGGCCATTGTGGCCAAGCAGGTACTGCTGGGTAAGTTTCTTTCAGGATTTTCCTCTTGATCTGGGAGTCAGTGATGAGCAACAATCACCATCTTTCGTTTGAGTCTCACGACTGTGAGATCAACCCATGCACCGCTCTGAGACTTGCCAGCCCCTCGGTGTTCTGGACTCCTGGCTCAAGGGATTTTTAGAGCAGGAGATTGACTTTCTTTCCATTCGGGCTGGCTTTGCTGGGTGTTAGGTGTAACTTTCCTGACTGTCTACGACCCACATTCTCTCTAGGCCGGAAGGTGGTCGTTGTTCGCTGTGAGGGCATCAACATTTCTGGAAATTTCTACAGAAACAAGTGTGAGTTAGGGCTGAGGGATGGTCTCCAGGTGGGGCACTGACTTGAGTCCTGGACAAACAGATCTCTAGTTAGGAGCTGTTTCTGGAACTGAGGCCTCACCCACCTTTTCTGTTGACAGTGAAGTATCTGGCTTTTCTCCGGAAGCGGATGAACACCAACCCCTCCCGAGGCCCCTACCATTTCCGAGCCCCGAGCCGCATTTTTTGGCGCACTGTGCGAGGTGAGTGAGCTGGGACTGGGCTACGTGGAAGGCGGTTATCTCTGGCAGCCTGTGATGAGAATCTCTCCCACTCATGTTCGAGTTCCCCAACTGTGAGATGACTCCACATGCACTACCATCTGAGGCTGGCTCCTCTCCCTGTTCTGGGCTAGGGGCGGGCTTTCAGCCCCTCTGAAAAGGAGGCCTTCTGTTCTTCCAGGCATGCTGCCCCACAAGACCAAGCGAGGTCAGGCTGCTCTGGAACGCCTCAAGGTGTTGGATGGGATCCCTCCACCCTATGACAAGGTGAGCCGCGCAAGCCTAGCCTCACAGCCTCTGTGCGTCCAGCGTCTGTGATGTTCTGCTATTACCTACATTGTTTGAGCCTCATGAAAACGCCACTGGCTGAGACGCCTGCCCCAGCAGCCTCCTTCCCAGGTGTCGCTCACAGGTCTCTGAGCCCCTCTCGTTCTCTAACAGAAAAAGCGGATGGTGGTCCCTGCCGCCCTCAAGGTTGTGCGGCTGAAGCCTACCAGGAAGGTAAGCTCCAAATTGCAGAGTGTGGGCTGGGGGTACCTCAAGACTGGCACATGATGGCTATTTTCTCACGATGGTCTGCGGATGCCGCTGTCGGGCAGTGCCGATAATGCCATGGGCTCAACTGATGCCAGGAGGGGCTCCTGTGGGGGAGGGGAATGTGTCCTTTAAATAGAATCTCTAGGGTCCTCTAGCTCACCCTTGTGCTGCTGGGGCACCTTCCATGTCCTTACAGCTTTGTGCCCCTGCAGTTTGCTTACCTGGGGCGTCTGGCTCATGAGGTCGGGTGGAAGTATCAGGCAGTCACAGCCACTCTGGAGGAGAAACGGAAGGAAAAGGCCAAGATTCACTATCGGAAGAAGAAGCAGCTCTTGGTGAGGACAGGACCTGCAGCCTGGTGAGAGAGGTGCTCCTGGGAGAAGAGCCAGGCATTCACTATCACTTGTCTTTACCCCACAGAGGCTACGGAAACAGGCAGAAAAGAACGTGGAGAAGAAAATCTGCAAGTTCACAGAGGTCCTCAAGACCAACGGACTCCTTGTGTGAGCCCAATAAAGACTATTTGTGCCTCATGCCTGCCTGGCCTGCTCTTCCTCCACCGCCGACTAGGGAAATGGGGACAGAGGTGCTTTAGGCACTGCTCCTGTGGGAAAGGGTGTTTTTATAAAAGCTCTGAGAGTTATTACTTTGACTTTAGTTTTAATGACTGACTGGGCTGCTCTGCCCATCAAACCCAAGGCCATATGTATTCTGCAGCTGTGAGGATGAGGATGGAGACCTAACATCTGGGCTGGGATTCAGAAGTACACACTGGGAAGCCACTGCCTTTGCTCCTTCCCAATACTGCTCAGAAAGCAATTTTACTTTCTTCAACAGCGTTCTGTTGCTAATAATAAATTATTTGACTGTTAAAGAAAACTGGTATCTTTGCACTATGTATGCTATATAGGAAGGAACAATGGGGACCAAAAATTTGGAATTTATAGGCTGTGGTATGCTATTTTGTTGAAGGCACGAAGGTGCTTTGTTGCTCAAAAGGTGCAGGCACAAATCTTCCCGTGGATCCTGCCTGAAATGGTTTTACTTAACTCTAATTCAGCTGCAAAGTACGGGATGTCACTAGCACATGGGCTTCAGGAACTCAATGCCCCAAATGAATTAAGGCTGGGGAAGCTAGTTAAGGGTACTGAAAATGGGGAGCTGGAACAGTGCCAACCAGGGAAGAGAGGTCAAACTAAACAATTTTACATCGTTCCTCAGACATAAAGGCATGAAGGGTTTAAGGGACAGCCTGCCTTTTGGCTCACAACCATCTAGCTCCAGGAGATCTAACCTCCTGGCCCTCAAGCCGGAATCTCATATAAATTCCCACCAGCCTACACCAGATAAGACATTGGAGGTGCACACCTTTAATCCTCTAGTGTTTGGTTGCCAGCCTTGGTCTGTAGAGTTCCAGGAGAGCCAGGGCTATACAGAAAGAATGTCATTAGCAGAGGTATCCTGTAGTGCAGGCAGCTGTCCTAAGTGTCATCCCTGTGCACCATAATGACCAGGAACTTGCCTCATGAGGTTTTGCGTTTTGGAGGGAGGGTTTGTTTCTCTGTTGCTTTTTCTGTCCTGGTACCCATTCTGTAGACCAAAATGGTTCCAAAGCTGGAGGTTCTTCTGTCTCTCAAGTGCTGGGATCAAAGGTGAGGCCCACCACCAAACTGAGGGGGCTTTAATGTAGAATTGTTGATAGTGATTCCGTGGGCTACATCCTCAACTACAGGTTTGCTTAGACATACTGCCACAGAAAGACCACGTATGCTTGGAGTTTTAGGTTGGTTGAGCGGGCCAGCCTGGACTGGTTAAGCAAATGCAGGGTAGAGGAGGAATCCTGTCACAACATCGTGCCAGTTTCAGTGATCATGTTTGTTGGTTTGGGGTAGGATTGACCTCTGTCCCTCAGCTTTCGAGGTATTAGGTGGTATACAGTTGACCATGAACACGGCTTAAAACAATTTTGCTGGGGCTGGTGAGATGGCTCAGCGGTTAAGAGCACTAACTGCTCTTCCAGAGGTCCTGAGTTCAATTACCAGCAACCACATGGTGGCTCATAACCATGTGAAATGAGATCTAAATAAATCTCTTAAAAAAATTTGCTTATGGCTTGTCACACATTGGGTCTGTTTTCTTGGTGATTTAAGAAAAAAAAATCAAATTCTTTACATATTAAATCTTTCGCGAAATTGTAACATCCCAGAAAGACAACAACTAAAATTCCTTCCTCTCTATGCTTCCCCTAGGTGAATAATGACTAGTGTATCAGGAGGTCGCTTGATTCGCTAGGCAATCTCACTGTGTGGCCCTAGCTGATCTGAAACTTAACTGTGAGTGCTGGCATTAAAGGAATCCCAACACGCAAAACGCTATTCTATTTACTGTCCTGAATATAGCCGGGAAAATTCTTCTAACTCCATTTGGCACAAAGCTTTTTCTGCCTCCTGAGTTGTGGTTTAATTACTGGGGTCCCTCCGTTTCCGAGGGGTGTGGTCTCTCCAAAGGTAATCAGGTCGTAAACCCAGGAGGGAATGGGGTTGGAATATACACCCAACAAACAAACCTATGGCACCTATAGCTCCGGTCTTGGTGGTTTGTGGGAGGACCACGATGGTGTCAAGAGCGGTCTACAAAGAGACCGTGCCGCCGGTACACGTGGATGTATACTTTAATAAAGGAAAAAAGGCTAGTAATGTCAGCCCGGGTGAAACATGGCCACCGCCGCCTCTCGCCAGGAATCTGAAGACCACCACGCGGTTCTAAATTACACGTGACTCCCGTTCCCGAAGAAACCTGACCCCGCCCGGCTACTTTCGCGGAACCGCAGGAAGTCGCTTCCCAGCCTGCCGCCTGAGATCTCGCGAGATGATAAGCTCCGCTTCCGGTCCCATAGTCCTCCACTACCATGGCGGCGTACGGACAGTTCCAGAATCGCATGCTCTGCACCGGAAATGCCTCCTAAATCCGTGCAGGGCTGGCCATACGTCACTTCCGCTGCAGACCTCGCGTAGTGAAGAAGGAAACCCGGGAGTCAGCCCACCTCTCTTTTCCTCAGACTGCCGGGAAGATGGCGGACATTCAGGTTTGAGCTGAGGGCTGGCGCCGAGGCTGGCGTCCCCGTCATCCTCCGAATTAGCCGAAGCGAGGGCGCCTACCCTGTGCCTTCATCTGTTGAGCGCCTCCGACGTCCTGGGCTTACACAGCCATGGGGTCTCAGGCACTCTGGGCGTTAGTCGTGTATGGCAGCGCGTGGGGAGGCTGCTTTCACACGGTTTCCCCGAGTGGGGGTGAGCGCCGGCTCGCTGGGGTCGGCACTGTTGCCGCGGGTCCGGCCCACTATGCCGGGCTGCGTGTCCGTGCGGTGTGGCTTCTGAGGGCGTGAGCGCGTGTGCTTGGGAAGGGCCTTCAGACGGGAAACGTGTTTGAACCTGGTGTGGTAGCTAGAAGAGATATGGGGTGGTTGTGGGCGCTGGCGTTAAGGGGTGGAAGGCGTCCAAGGGTGGAAAGGCAAGCTCACCCGGGGTCTCACCGAACGATTGTCCCTACAGACCGAACGTGCTTACCAAAAGCAGCCCACAATCTTCCAAAACAAGAAGCGTGTTCTGCTTGGAGAAACCGGCAAGGAAAAACTCCCTCGGTACTACAAAAACATCGGTCTAGGCTTCAAGACGCCCAAGGAGGTACAGGACCCTCCCACAGATGAGACTCGTGGCCTTGCATGTGGGAGCAGGGCCACCGCGCTCTTTTCGGAGTGGCTGCCTTCGGGGCTCCTGGGAATTGTAGTTTGGTAGTTCAAACTGCACTTTCTCGTCTTTTCAGGCCATCGAGGGCACCTACATTGACAAGAAATGCCCGTTCACTGGCAACGTCTCCATCCGAGGTCGGATCCTGTCCGGTGAGTAAGAAACTGAAGTGTGGCTCGAGGTTCTGAATCCAGGTTCTCCGGCAGATGATGTCCATTCTCACGATGGTCTTCAGACAGCCCCAAGGGCACTGCTGAGACAACCAATTGACAAAACTGATGCCAGAAGCGGGATTTCTTGGGAGCCCCGTTCAACAGCTTGTTTTGCTGCAGCATGAATTACCCTTGGCTTGCTAACACCTTCTCCCCCCACTTTCTCAAGGTGTCGTGACCAAGATGAAGATGCAGAGGACCATTGTCATCCGCCGGGACTATCTTCATTACATCCGAAAGTACAATCGCTTTGAGAAGCGTCACAAGAACATGTCTGTGCACCTGTCCCCCTGTTTCAGGTGAGCACAGTCCTCTACTAACCTGGCACAACCTGAGACAAGCATCTGTGTCGATCAGGAAGGGCCGCTGGTGGGGGGAGCCCTTAAGGGTGATTTTGGAGAGAAGCTGGGGTGTCCTGTGGGAAGAGCAGAGTGGCTCAGAGTCAGGTGTATAGACTGCTGAGGAACGGCAGGCAAGGTTACTGCTAAATGTCTAGGAGAAAGAAACGAGTTTTTTGAGTTGCTCTTAGCAACCACCCAAATGGCCACTGGTGGGTGGAGCCATGGTGGGGACCCGCAACCTTTCAGTGGGGATACAGGGAATGCTGGGGAGGTCCCTCCTGAAGACTGCTTCTTGTGTAACCCTCAGGGATGTACAGATCGGCGACATTGTCACTGTGGGAGAGTGCAGGCCCCTGAGCAAGACGGTGCGCTTCAATGTGCTCAAAGTCACTAAGGCTGCTGGCACCAAGAAACAGTTTCAGAAGTTCTGAGAGCACTTTGACCAGCTCCCTAGAACAAATAAAGTTATTTTCTGGCTATACAACAGGTGTGGAGTCTCTGTCCTGGGCCAGAGTGGGCTTGCACCTAGGCTTCTCTGATCTAGGGTGTCTGCTGCCTTCCCTTCATCTGTTTCTCAGGTCCTCCTGCCTCTGCCTCCCAAGTGCTGGGATTAAAGGCGTGCCCACCACCACCTGAGTTAAGGCTCATTTTTTTTTAAGCCTTGATAAATCTTGCCATCCAAGTAGACATGGTCAGTTAGTTATTTGGTGCCACTGGTCCCTGCCCTTCACATCCCAGTCCCTGGAGAGGAAGTAAGTGAGGCCATCCCTGACCTCATTGAGGTCAAGCCTTAGAGTGCCCCAGGGGGCAGTCTGACACATGCCCCCACCCCACCCCCATAGCTGGAGAGGAAGCACTCAGCCTCCCAGGTGAGCCACCTAGGTAGAGGCAGGCTGTCCACCTTGAGTGTCAACAGTGTTTGAATGTCCACTTCCGGAGAGCCGCTGCCTACCACTGGTTCCCAGGACAGGGCGCTGTTGAGATGGGAAAGATGACTTGGTATATGGGAAGAGGGCCCCAGGGTAGTGGGAGTGGTGTGGATACCCACTCAGGAAAAGGACCCAAGGCATCCCCAGGTATGTGGGAAGGGGACAGACCTGGAGGGAGCTGGAGCTGCTGCTGCTGGAGTTCCCAGGTCCCTGCCCCCCAGGCCTGTACCAGGGTCTGAAGAACAGCACTGGTACAAGGGTTGGGAGACAGGGCCTTGGGAAGAGTCCTCTGCCTGCAGGAGATGCCGCACACTGCCTCACTGCAGCCTTCTGCCTTTTACCAGGCCTCTGAGGGAGGGGGTTCCTGTCAAAGGAAGTGGGCCTACATCAAAGCGAGCAGGAAGGGGCAGGGACAGGTCAGGGGGGCCACCGCCCAAGCTGGGATCCTGCCAGCCACCCCTGAGGGGAGGGACTGCAGGGGACAGGGACCCTGAGGAATCTGAAGCCAATTGTTAAGAGGTGTGGCCCCTCCAACCACAGGTGCTTCCGTTCGGGTGGGGCCTTGTGTTTACAGCAGCCTAGCTCTTATTTCCTCCCAGTGGTAGTTGGGGCTTCTTGGTACCTGTGACAGGCCATGAGGAGGTGGCAACAGGGAGGAGAGACCCCTGGCTGCCCCCCTGGCACAACTGAAGAGCAGTTTCCCTCTGCACTCGGGCTTGCTGAAGTCCCCAGTGCCAGCCAGACTGGCACTTCCACCCTAGGTGGCTTGATGTTCAGTTATTTTGACAGGGTCGCTTTGTGCCCCTAGCTGGCCGGGAGCTCCCTCTGTTGACCAGGTCAGCCTCAGGATCTCTAGGTGCTGAGATTCCAGATGACATCCCTTTATGGTCTTTCTCCAAGCTGGTTTCTCTGTAGCCCTGGCTACCCTGTAACTAGCCCTCTAGACTAGACTAAAAAAAAAAAAAAAATACACTGTCTGCCTCCCGAGTGCTGGGATTAAAGGCTTGTACCACCACCATCCAGTTCCGTTTTGGTCTTTAATCTTGGGCACCTATTTGCGTCTGACATGTTCAGCTCAAGAATCACTTGTAGACATTGGTGGTAAGCTGAGACAGAAGGGTCTTTAGAAGTCAAACCAGCCTGGGCGGGTTAGACCCTGTCTCAGTGAAAATAAGAGCTGGTAGGGATGTGGCTCAAGGTTGTAGCGCCTGCCTAGAATCCGCCAGCACAGTGCTGGGATTGTAACTCTGAGGTGAAGTGCTTTGTCTAGAGTGTACGGGGTTCTGGGGTCCATCCAGTACCTCAGACCAACTGCAAGCATTCGGGAAACAGACTTGAGGAGAAGCACAGTTTAAGGCCACAGGAGACCCTGTCTCAAAAACAAGAAGCAAAACATGGTGGTGTACATTTTTAATCCCAGCAGACAGATCAGAGTCCAGCCTGTCTACACAGAACCCTTTCTAAAAATGAAAATATTTGAGTGTGTGCCTACCACAGAACCCCCAGACCTCCCCCCCCACACACACACACATGAAGGTCAGAGTATCTGTTCTCTTCATCATGTGGCTCCCATGAGTCAAACACAGGCCTTCATGCCTGGCAGCAAGTCCCTACCCACTGCTCACTAAACCATCTCCCTGGCCCTCACTTCCTCCTTGGTTCTCTTACACAGAGAGGTGAACATACTTCCTGTCTGTCTGTTGCGATGACTGTAAACCTGTACCCCTTGTCCCTGTAAGTGGAAGCACAAGCAGGTAACCCCCAGCTCACTAGCTGTGTGGCCTCGGTTAAGTGACTCCACAGACCCAGAGTCACATCTGTAAAGGGTGTCCATCCACACTAGCAGCTGGGCAGGTGGGACACCACAGCCCTGCAACAGTGACTTTTGGTAGGTAGCTGCAGAAGTTTGCTATGGTGTGGGACCTTGGGTCTTTTAGAGCAAACTCTGTGGAGTCATTTTAGTATGCTCCTGGAAGATTCTGTGGCATGGCATGTCTGCTGGAGACCATAGGGCTTCTCAGCAGGGTTCTGGTTTTTGTTTAGTTTGGTTTCTGTTTTGTTTGTTTTTGTTTTTTTGATACAGTTTCTCTGTATCCCTGGCTGTCCTGGAACTCACTCTGTAGACAAGGCTCTTCCTTAACTCACAGAGATCCACCTGCTTCTGCCTCCCAAGTGGTGGAATTAAAGGCATGCGCCACCACCACCGGGCACACCCAGGGTCCTGGTTTGGTGACAGCGAAACAGGGCAGACCTGGCTCGGTTCTGACTGTGGAAGACCACTGGAGCACTCTAAGGAGGCAGGATGGCCAGCAGGGGTCGCTGCTGCTCCTGTGTGGGTTGTTTCCTTCTGAGACAGTCTCACTGTGTCGCTTCACTGTTAGCCCTGACTAACCTTGGATTCCTAGCCAAGTTCCGGCAGCCGCAGCCTCCATTGTGCTGGGATTGCGGGAGCTGTGATGTCCTGGATTCCAGTGCCCTGTGGCAATGGGAGAGCCTGTTGGTACAAATATAGGCGCAGAGCCCAGGCTATACATACTGACTTTTATTTGTTTGTTAGTTTTGAAACAAGGTCTCTACATAGCCCTGGCTGACCTGAAACTCTGTAGACCAGGCCGGCCTTGAGCTCATAGAGATCCACCTGCTTCTGCCTCCCAAATGCTAGGATTAAAGGCCTGTGTCACCATGGCTGGCTCTGTTGTGTGTGTGAGGGGGTGCGCATTTGTTTTGTTTTTAGTTTTTCAATGTTTTGTTTTGTTTGTAGTTTTCTCCATGCCCTTGTTATGTTGAGCTTGGGATCGAACTCAGGGTTGCACAATTGCTAATTAAGAATTCTACCAACTGAGCTACATCCCCAGGCTCAAACCCAGAATACTTTAAAAAAATTGTTTTTCTTAACCTGCAGTGATGATGCATGCTTTTATCCCAGCACTCAGAAGGCACAGTCAGGCAGGTCTCTGTGAGTTCGAGGCCATCCTACTCTACAGAGCAAATTCTAGGGCAACCACTGCTACACAAAACAAACAAACTCTGTCTTGAAAAACAAAACAAAGCCCTTTCAATTACAATTAGATGTGTCTGCCACAGAGTGACGTGGAGGTCTACTGCATCCAGAATGGCTCTGGAGACAGACATGTCTGGGGCATTCAAGGAATGAAGAAAAATGGACACACAGGAAACCTGAGCCCCCGGGGGAGAGCACCGTTTATTACATAGAGTTGAGCAGAGAAGCTGGGCAATGTATGCGGCTCATCTCCACGGGGCGGTTGGTCTTCAGGCCGTGAGAGCTACCGTGCGTGGGCTTTTCCCCACACACACCATCAACAGCCACACATGGCCCCGAGAAAGGCTTTGCCGTCCTCACAGCATCGCCAGTGGCGGGACTGGGGGTCTTTGCCATTTTCCCATGGGACTGGGACTGAGGTTCTTGACATGGTACTGCTCTCATGAACTCAGGGCCTCCTCTGTTCCTCAGAGATGGGAGGATAACTTTGGGAGTCAATTGATTCTCTCTTCCTTCCACTCAGATTCTGGAAATGAAGCTGGGGTCATCAGGCTTGGCAATGGGCATCTTTACCACTGCACCATCTCCCCAGACCCAGACCCGTTTACTTCTGTTCCCTAAGAAATCCATTCAGAACTGAATGTTTGAATGGAAGTAGTGCACACTTAATCCCAACACTCAGGAGGCAGAGATGGCGAATCTCTACATGTTAGAGGCCAGCCTGGTCTACAAAGTGAGCTCCAGGACAGCCAGAGCTACACAAAGAAATCATGTCTTGAAAAAACAAAACCAAAAAAAAAAAAAAAATAGAAGAAGAAGAAAAGAAAAAAAAAATCCTGACAGTTTACAAAGCAGGCATCACATACAAGCTTTTAAAAAGAGATTAAAGAATATGTATGTGCTTGAGTAGCTGTACATGCATCGTGGGCATTGATAGGCAAAGACATTTAAGGAAGAACAGTGTTCATCCAAGTATAGCTTCTCAAGAGAGAATCCCCTGTGGGGTCTTTTTTGTTTTTGTTTTGTTGTTTGTTGTTTTTTCGTTTTTTCAAGACAGGGTTTCTCTGTGTAACAGCGCTGGCTGTCCTGGAGCTCACTCTGTAGACCACGCTGGCCTCGAATTCACTTGAGATCCACCTGCCTCTCTGCCTCCCAAGTGCTGGGAACAAAGGCGTGCACCACCACTGTCCGGCTAAACGTTTTTATTAGATTTATTTAGTGGGTGTCTGTGGTCAGAGGACAACTTCTAGAGGTCAGCTCCCTCCTCCCATCACGTGGTTTCCAGGGACTGAACCCAGGTCCTAGGACTTGCACAGCACCTTTACCCGATGAACTAACCTTCAGCCCTGTGCAAACACTTCTAAGGGTTTCCCCTACTTCTTTTTTGGTAAATGAACTCATAGGGTGTTTCCCGAGAGGCACAGGGGTAGGATCAGAACTGATAAAGACCTTGTGTCCCAGGAATACACAAGGGGCTTAGGATGCTTCTGTACAGAACACACAGTTTATAGTTTTGTTTGTGAAATTCCTCAAAAATTGTAATTCACAGCTGGGAAATGAGGAAGATGAATTCAGGGGCCATGTATGCTCGGCCTTAAACAGAGTTTGCTGCAATTTTATATTCTTTTGAAATATCACTTTGAAGGAATGTTGTCCCTTGGTAAGCAACCAACATCATTAATTGGTTAATTACGAAGGCTTTCTTTTTTTTCTTCTTTCTTCTTCCCCCTCACCCCCACCCCAAGATAGAGTTTCTCTGTATAGCCCTGGTTGTCCTGGAACTTACTCTGTAAATCAGGCTGGCCTTGAACTCACAGAGATTTGCCTTCCAAGCAGTGGGACTAAAGGCATGTGCCACCAGTGCCTGGATCTTTTCTTTAAAAAAATTTTTTTTCATGTGTGTGGTTATTTGGCTTGCATGGATATCTGTGACCACCAATCTGTCCACAGATGTTGGAAGAAGGCATCAGATCCCCTGGAACTGAAGTTACTGAAGATTGTGCTGGGGAATTCATCCCTGGTCGGTCTCCGCAAGAGCAGCAAGAGCTCTGAAGTTCTGAGCCTTCTCTTTCGCCTCCAAAACCCTTCTTATATTTATTTATTGTGTGTGTGTGTCATAGTGCATATGTGGAGGTCATAGGTTGTCCTCTCAGGAGTCTTTTCCAACATATAGGTTCCTGGGGATCGAACTTGGGATGTCAGGATTGGTTGGCAGGAAGCACCTCTACCCACAAACATCTTGTCTCCTCTTTTTGGTATCTTTTTGTCCTTTTGTTCTGTAGAACTTAGGAAACATTTCTCATGCCCCTGAGCCCCGGCTGAGTTCACCAAGACAGCAGGCGGCATGGGAGAGTTTACTGGTCGCACTGA